GGTTTGTGAGAAACAACATCTACGAAGTCATGGTCTTGGCCGTGGACAATGGTGAGAGCATCCTCCCAGCCTTCCCACAAGGGCCACTTTTGGTTCTCAGGTCACATGACACAGCACAGCATGTTCCCTCCACAGGTGGGAACATGTGTCAGGGAGGGCTATTTGCAAACCAGTCCAGATGGTCAAAGGGGTCTTTCAGAGGAGTCTTTTAAAGACTGGTCCTAGGCGGGGCGCGGTGGCTCATGCCCGTAATCCCAGCACTTTGGGAGGCCGAGGTGGGCGGATCACGAGGTCAGGAGATCGAGACCATCCTGGCGAACACGGTGAAACCCCATCTCTACTAAAAAATACAAAAAACTAGCCGGGGGAGGTGGCAGGCGCCTGTAGTCCCAGCTACTCCGGAGGCTGAGGCAGGAGAACGGCGTAAACCCGGGAGGCGGAGCTTGCAGTGAGCTGAGATCCGGCCACTGCACTCCAGTGATAGAGCAAGACTCCGTCTCAAAAAAACAAACAAAAAAAAGATGTGCACTCAGGAAACATAGGAGTGTTCATGGGACAGAGAAGGGGCAGCATGGTTGCTAGTGGGGGCTAAAGCCCCTCAGTATTGGCTCTTTCCTTCTGACATCTCAGCTGTACTGTACTCCTCTCAAAATAGTGGTTCAGGTCCTTCTTCCTCTTCTCTCCTAGGGTTTGGATTTTGAGGCCAAAAACCAGCACACCCTATACGTTGAAGTGGCCAATGAGGCCCCTTTTGTGCTGAAGCTCTCAACTTCAACAGCCACCATAGTGGTCCACGTGGAGGATGTGAATGAGGCACCCGTGTTTGTTCCGCCCTCCAAAGTCGTTGAGGTCCAGGAGGGCATCCCCACTGGGGAGGCTGTGTGTGTCTACACTGCAACAGACCCTGACAAGGAGAATCAAAAGATCAGGTACTCAGGAGCGGGGCTCGGTGAGCAGCATGCACTGGTACAGTTGGCGGGTGGGTGATGATGGCCAGCGTTTGTTCTGATTACCGTAGAGACTGTTAAATAGGAATATCCCTCCTGCATAGGTCCTCTTCTTCCTACCCTCTGTGAGACTGAAGACTGAATAGGGGTTTGGGGGCAGGTATTTCTCACTCTGTCATGTATCCCTCTTGGGACTGCTGCACCTGCTGCTTTAGGACCCCGTTTATGGGCGAGGCGCATTTTCCATATGATCCTGCTTAGGTGCCCAGAGGCCATCAGCCAGTTGGTATGAGGAGGCCCTGAATGACGCGCCTTGGGGCAACTGTCTTCCCTCATGGGGAGGGATAAGGGGGTGAGTGGCAGGGGCTGGGGCGAGCGTGCCTGCGCCCAGGCAGTCTTTTCACGTGTCGCCAGGGTCAGACCACAGGTCTCTCCTTGTGGCACTACACAATTCTACAGAATTCTAAATATTCTGGATGTTACTCGTCTCAACTTTTCCTCTCCAGCTACCGCATCCTGAGAGACCCAGCAGGGTGGCTAGCCATGGACCCAGACAGTGGGCAGGTCACTGTTGCGGGCACCCTAGACCGTGAGGATGAGCGGTTTGTGAGAAACAACATCTACGAAGTCATGGTCTTGGCCGTGGACAATGGTGAGAGCATCCTCCCAGCCTTCCCACAAGGGCCACTTTTGGTT